CCTGAGTCCTTCAGTGTGCCAGGGGTTTTAAGGTTATTTTAGCTTTAAGTCCATGACTTTGTGAGTTACAGAAATAAGAGAAATTTGCCATATCAGAGAGTTAGCTGAAACATGGCGCACTCGCCTGGGCCTGCTCAGCCAGTAGAATGTTCTGGCCCCAGGGAGTCTCCCCCAGGACTCCATTGGAGCCCCTCCTGAAGGCTGAATGTCTGTTGCCGTGCTACCAGACAAAATAACTCTGAGTGCTTTGTTGTTGTGTTTTGCAGGTGAAGATGACAAGCTGATCCTATGTGATGAGTGCAATAAGGCCTTCCACCTGTTTTGTCTGAGGCCGGCATTGTATGAGATTCCAGATGGAGAGTGGCAGTGCCCGGCCTGCCAGCCTGCCATGTCCCGACGAAGCTGTAGAGGCAGGTGAGTGAGCCTGAGCTCAGTGCCCAGCGGCTGATTTTACTTAGTGGCCAACTTTCCATGTTGTCAATCCTCACTCAGCTCAGATTTGATGCCGTTGTTACCCTAACCAAGCGTGAGCTTTACTAAGGGGGAGAGGATCTTTGTTTTGTGGAGAAGGTTGAGGGTAGAGCCTGTCCCTGTAAAGTTATATCCTGCTCCATCTCAGTTACAGTCAGAGAACAAAAGGAAAGAGCCGTCCTGTTCCCAAAAGGTTAGGCCTTTAGCCAGCTGGTGTAGGTGGAATTGTACTTGCTTTGATGTCTTGGTCACCTGCAAGCTGTCTCACCTCCTGGAATGGAGCCATCAGGCGAACCCACACCTGTCGACTTGCTGTTGGCCTCCGAGCGTTCACCCTTAAAATGCTGAGTTGTCACGGGTAGGGAATGTGTCACCATTTTGTTTCTCAAGGGAGAGCATTCTTGGCTTCAGTTTGTGTCATGCCTGGCCTTCCTGGGTCAAATGCAATTCTCACTCGTGACTGGACAAATATGGATGGTCTGTGGGCAGATGCTGCCATGGCCTCTGTCCTCTTTTGGGACTCATTTAGGCTCCCAGTCAGTCTCCTCGTATCCCCTTCTTCCCCAAATAGGAATTACACTGAAGATTCAGATGATGAGGACGATGGAGAAGAGGGGGATTCGGAGGAGGAGGAAGAGGAGGAAGAGGAAGAGGAGGACGAGGATTATGAAGTGGCTGGAGTTCGACGTGAGTTTTTGAGTCCATGACTGAACCTGGAATTGATTTGTCTGATGTAAACCACTAATTCCCCACAGCCGAAGATGGCCTCGAACCTTCTCCAAATAGCCAGGGAGCTCATTCCTCTGATAACTTGTACTGTCTCACTTCCTGCTTCCCTGTGTGTCATGGCTACAGGCAGCCTCCCTCCCAGCCCCCCTAGATGTCGTGTCATGTAGCCGGGGATGGACTGTCTGATTTGGGGGGGGTGCTGGTCAGAGGCCCTGACATAACCAAGGTTTTCCGCTTTGTGATGTTTGACTGTGGCCCCTTTTGGACAGAGTGCTGAGTGTGCATTTACTGCGCGCCTCTTGTCTGGATGCAGTGAGCAAGGCTTCCCCCGTGGTACAGGGAAGGCAGTTTGGCTGGTTTATCGCAGCTTTATTTCTTTATGGCCAAGAATAAGGGCGTTCAAGGTCAAATCATTTTGCTTTAGACAGTTCAAAAAAAAAATTTGCCCCATATTGGTTCATCCAGATGATTTTACCCCTACTCCCACCCCACCCCCATGCTGACTCTGATTTGTCTGCTCCTCCTTCCCCGCAAGGTTCCTCCGACCTTCTTGGAGGAGGCTGGGTGTTGAGAGCTTACCCTCAGAGCTATAATTAAAAAGCCTAGTGCTTCGTGCCTTGTCTCTGTAACAGAATCACTGGCCCCAGAAATGTTTGCCTGCTACCAAGAGAATGAAAAGTCCTCATAGTTCTTGGTGGGGGGAGTGAATTCTGAAGGGCCTCACTCCCATTTCAGACTAACATTCTGCTTGCTTTGGCCATGGGTATCAAAGTGCTATGGAATTGTTTTCCTCTTTCTCCCCACAATGACCCTCCACCCTCAAGGCAGGTGACCACTGTGAGGAAGTGTGTCTGCTGTTGAAATCAGGGGAACAGTTCCCAGCTTTTCAAAACCCGCACCCCACCATGACCTTTAGGAGCACCAGTATCTGAGAACAGTCAGTGAAAATGAAGCTCACTCTGATGATCCACACATCATCTTGGGGTCCTCCTTTGGGCCGCCGGGACAGTTTTGGATGGACCAGCTGATGGAATCCCTCAGGGGGCTTGCCTCCCAGGCTCTGCTTTGGGCGGTGATTCTTGACCTCTTGGAGTAGCCAGGCCCTAAGCCAAGTGCTCTGACAATAGTACGAGAAGGGCTGCTGGGTTCTAAAAATACACTCTGAAATGTTGTCAGTTCAGTCCTGGCCTCAGCTCCCCACCCCTGCCCAGAATTTCAGCTGCTGAGTGTCCAGTGTGGGAGCCTGGAAAAATCCGTGTGGCAAACCTTTGTTTTAATGGAGAGGGCCAGAGCTTAGATGTTGGTGGTGCATTCGTTTCTGAGGCGATCCTAGACAGCGTTGGCTTGGAGGGCATCATCTGACACAGTGCCAAGAGCAGTGGCCCTTATGTGGGCCAGCCGGTCACTGTCCGCTCGAGGTCTGCAGCCCATGGTTGTGACTTTGTGGTGTGGTGGGATCCAGCAGCAAGGGAATAACCACAGAGATAGGATACCTCCCAGGCCGGCCAAAGCCTGAGCAAGATCGGCCCGGCGGCCCTGGGTGTGCTAGTCTTTCAGTACAAGATGCCTGCCTTGCTTCCAGGCACCTTGTTGGCTTGTATTTCTTTGAAAGGAAATTGTGTTGAATTCTGGGTTTGTTGGCACCTGCCCAGGGGTCCTCAGGACAGCTCTTTGCTTTCCAAGGGGATTGTGATCAAATTAGATTTCCTGAAATCTCCCACTGGCTGCTCAAACTGGTTAAGTAACTTGAGTTTGATTTGTGGAGGGGGGGGGTGGGAACGAAGACAGGATGATGGGAGGTCTTTGGCAGCTTCTGAATGGCAGGATCCCTTTGTCCTCTGCTTTTCTCTTTGGCTTGTTTTGTACCTGAAAAGGAAGCCTAACATCCCATCTGGGAGATGGAGGGGGTGGGGCTGAGGCTGGGAGTCTGATGGGACCCTGCCAGGATCGTCATCCTCAAGTTGTCTCAGTCACTGCCTTCCTCTCTGCTCTAAAACCACACTTTTCTTTTCAGTACGACCCCGAAAGCCAGCCCGGGGCAAGCATGGTGGCATCTCCTCCACTTCAAGGCCAGGCCGTCGTGCAGGCAAGAAGTTACATCCTTCCAGGAGACCCCGGCAGAGGGCCCTGCCAGGAGATGAGGCCGAAGTTGATGAGCTGGTAAGCTTAAATTGCTTTCAGGCAACAGGTGGGGATGTCCCTCCCCTCCTCTTGCTCCTTTCCCCCACCTCCACTTAATTGGGGGAGGGGTGTCTTAGAGCAGGACCCAAGCCAGCTGGGACTTCAGACCCTCTAAGGACCAAGCTATGCCCGGCATCCCTCTGCATTCGCTTTCACACGTTGTCTGCAGCTTGTTTTTAAATAGTATCCCTCTGTCTCCGGGGGGTCGAAGGGGCCAGGGCTCATGGGTGTGAGAATGCCAGCAATGCCAAAGCTTGCTTGCTGCGGTGGGTCCTTTTTCTGACAGTTGTCAGCCTTCAGAGTGTCGGTGCTGTGCTGCCCACCCAGCCGACAGAGGGGGTGGTCTCACCCAGCCCCTGCCTTGGTCAGAGCCTGCAGTGGTTGTTGGGGTGTGGCAGAGCCTGGGCCCTGCTGTAGTCCCCACCTGCCCTCAGGCCTTCTGTTGAGCCCAGGTCACCTGGCACAGCCCTGAGGAGGGCCTTGCTCAGCGCTTCCTTCTTATCTTGTCATCCTCTTCACCCCCAAATATGGAGCTGGACAGCTCTGGTTTTCCCTGTATTTCTCTCCATGACAGCAAAGTCCCAGGGGCCATCAGCTGTTGCTGGTCATGGCTTTAAATGACACATTGAGCCCTCCTAAAAGCTGGCTCTTACCCTAGCACAGCTACTTGGGGAAAGGCAAATGGGGCTGGAGCCAAGCAGGGCGATGCTTCTGGGTTGGGCACACTCTCCCTTGTCCCTGCTCGAGCATTCTGCCCTTAAATTTCCAGAAGAAAACAGGGCTCTCTCTGCCCACGTTCCTAGCTTGAATTTATAAAGGGATTTTAAAAATTATTATCATGCCACAAAAGGCCCCTGCTGGCCTTTGTTATTGTAAAGGAAAGAAAACAAAAAGGTCACACTATTTTCATATAGCAAATGTACATACTTTTACACACACCCCCCCCCACACACACACACATTCACGTGTATGGATCTGCCTCTCTGCCCAGTTATCCTCCCCACCTCATTCCCTTCTTGCAGCACTGGGGGTTCACTAGCATCACCTTCTTTCCTCTGCTTGGAAATAGGTGCTTCAGACCAAAAGAGGCTCAAGAAGGCAGACTTTGGAGCTGCAGAAGTGTGAAGAGATCCTCACCAAGCTCATTAAGTTCCGATTCAGCTGGCCTTTCAGGTCAGCGTCCCACCCTGCCCCAGCCCAGGCTCCCGCAGCCAGCCATAGCTTCCTTGTACCTGTACTGAGGGGGCTCTCACCGGAGTGATCTATGGGCTGAGCCCCCATGGGTCCCTCCCTGGACCAACCTTCCCTGGTCTTGGTGGTCGGGCTGACAAGGATGAGGCAGTTAGGGGAGGCACTGTCCTTGTCAGCAACTGACCTTTCCTCCCTCGGACCTTCCTTTCCCCCCCAGGGAGCCTGTGACCACAGAGGAGGCAGAAGATTACTTCGAGGTCATCAGCCACCCCATGGACTTCCAGACGATGAAGAATAAATGCTCGTGCGGCGCTTACCGCTCGGTGCAGGAATTCCTGTCCGATATGAAGCAGGTGTTTGCCAACGCGGAGCATTACAACTGCCACGGCAGCCACGTGCTGACCTGCCTGGCGAAGACAGAACAGTGCCTCGTGGCCTTGGTGCACAAGCACCTCCCGGGCCACCCGTACGTCCGAAGGAAGCGCAAGAAGCTCCCCGACCAGCCCTTGGAGGGGGAAGTGGGAGACAGTGACCCAGAGCCGCCGGGACATTCCAGGGGTCGGAAGAGGAAGAAATAAAAGGAGGCTGGGACGGTGTCCAGAGTGGCGGTGAGGGCAGAAGACTGAGCAGGCCTCCCAGGGAATGGTTCACAGGGAGGGAGAGCGACCCTTCTGAGGCCTCTCCACCGCCGCCGCTGCTGCTGCCGCCGCCACCACTACAGAGAGAACTGAGCGCCTGCTTCCAATATAATACATGTTGTTAGGCAATGTTGGTACTAGGTTGGCTTCTGTGCCCAGAGTGATCTCGAGGGATGGAAGGGGGCTGGGGACGGGCACTCTTGCCGCCATGTTAAAATTGTTAGGAAGTCGGTGAAATGCCAAGGTGTTCCCTGGGAATCCTGTGCCCCTTTGCTGAGAGTTCTCTCCTCCTTTCCAGCCCCTGGGGGGCTACCATAGAGGGCTTCGAAGCCTTCTGCAGCTGCCTGCAGAGCCAAGCCCCACCTCTTAGTGCAGGGGAGGGATTGCTTTGCTACACAGGACCAAGAGTAACCAGGCCGGTGGGCTGTTGATTTTAAAATATATATATATACACACATACATATATATATATATATTTATATATGGTCTTGATTTTTTTTTGGAAACCCCCCCCATCTTTTTCTCCTGCCCCCAGTAAAATTGAGTACATCCCCCCATTCGGAGGTCAGTTCATTTTTCACCAGCATCATGAGATAATTTGGCTTTGAGGTGATCTTGGTGGGCCTGAGGGGACGTCCCCTTCCTCCCTCCACCCCCACCCCGTCCAGTTGAGGCACTTCACTATTAAAAAGACTGGAGGTTCCTGCTCCCGTAGTTGGCTTCTAATCATGCAGCCAGTCCTTCCCTTGGATGAATCTGGCCGGAGGAGGGACATTGGCCCTCAGCCCATCTCTCAGCCAGACAAGATTTGGGGAGCAGAACAAAGCAGGAAGAATTTGAACTTGTAACTTTTTTAAAAATTGATTTTTCTAGTTATTAAAAGTTGCTTGTTTCAGCAGTGATATTGTATAAAGGACACCTTGTAAAATAATTCTGTCGTCTTGCTTTGGCACATGTACAGGACAATTTATATGAAAGCCGTGTTTGCTTAATCCTCGTCTCCCCCTCCCCAGCTCGTTGAAAGCCAGAAGGGTTGGGGGGGGGTCTCTAGTCTTGGCTCCCTGACAGCAGTGCTGCTCCCCCCAGTTCCTTCCTCTTGCCAAGTATGGAGGCCCCAGACTCCAGCTTGGAGAGTCTGGGAGGATTTCATTGGCCCCAGAAGGGGAGGGAGAACCGGATGGAGAGCCTTTTCCTGGGTGAGTCCTTAGCCCCTAGTTGTTGTACTTAGGCAAAACTTTGTAGTCCCGATTCCCTTTTGTGGCCAACTTTGATAAAAAATACAGAACAGGGTTAAATTTTTTCTATCAAGTTTGAATTTGGAAACTGAGCCAAACAGCTCTAATGTACCTATTTAAATAAACCCACAAAAGTGATGTAACTCCTAGGATTTGAGAATAAAATCTTTACTACTAAACTGCAAGGTGTGTGTCCCTATATATCTTATCTCGGTGGCAGAGAAGGATGTGGGAGGGACTTGCTCGGTGGCTGATGGGATCACTTGCTCCCAGCTTTCTCTTGTCTAGACCTGGAGCCAGTGACACCCTCCACAGCCCTGACCTCCACCCCCGAAGGCCCAGCTCTTCTTGTTAAATATTGAGCATCTGAGTTGCTTCAGTGCCGTCTGAATTGTATGTTTCCTTTTTTGTTTTTAAAAATTGTCATTCAGGAGGGAGAGGGCCTGCCGAAGACCAGGCTTGTAATAAATTGGAATTTCAAACAATAAACATTATGTACTCGTGTTTGTTTAAAAAATATTCTGGAGACTTGGAGGGTCCTCACTGGTGGCTAGCTCTCATTCCGTCCACCTTGGCTGGCCAGCTGTCAGTTCCTCCAGCGTCATACTTGGCCTGCCGAGTGAGGTGATGTCTTCTTCTATTTTAGCCGCAGGTCAGGCTCGTAGGCTGCTCTGAATCTCCTTCCTTCCTGCGTGCGTCTCTGGTGTCTTGCTTAGTCGGGGTGAGGATTTTAAGGCTTTAAACTATGCCATTAGCTGAAGTTTTCATTCTTTTTTAACAAAATTCAAACTTCAGACATTGTAATCCCTCTACTAAAGTGAGGGTGGGAAGTAGATGAATGCCCTGGATTTGGAGGTGTCCCTGGGAACGTTCTCTTTTGTCAGGGGACTCTTCCAAGTAGTTCACGTTCCCTGGAGCTAGGCACAGACCATTCGGAGGTTGGGGAATAAAGCAAGCGACCTTGGGAGGAGAGCTATTTCTCCAGAGATGGAGTGCACCCTTGCCTTCCTTTACCACTTAGGCAAAGGATGGACCCTGTTCACAACATTCACTTGTTGAATTAGGCCTAGGAAGTTTACAAAGTGCCTTCCTCAGCTTTCCAAAGCCTTGGCAATGGAGACTGAGCTGGGGCCAGGAGCAAGTGACCATGTACAAGCTCCAGCCTCGGGCTTAGATTAAGGTCGGGTCTGAGTAAAAGCTCGTGGGTCTTGTCACGTACAGCTCACTTCTGCCTCCTCGCACCTGCCTGCTTTTGAGGATATGGTCTTCTGGACTTCCCATAAAGAAAGGCTCTGCTAAGGTTAGGTGACACGGGCCTGCCCTGGGCCAGTTTCCTCTTCGCCCCCACCTCACGTGTCGGCTATGCTCCTGACCAGCTGTTGGCTGACCTCCGGCAGCCCCTGCTTGTGCTGGTTAGGGGGATCCCTCAAAGTATCCCTCAGAGTGCAGGGGTGTTTCCCTGTCCACTTCTAATGAGTTCAGTCTATAAAGGACAGGTAGGCATTATTCCTTTGGACCAAAGGAGATGGTGCTCATGTCAAAGGCCTGGGGATGGGGGACTGGAGTCACTTCCTTCCTCTTCCACTTTGTCCCTCCCCCACAACTAATTAGCCACTAGGACCAGAACTTGACATAACCTGAGGAGGCCATCTGGTCTAACATTTGGTGCGTTCATTTTATATATGAGAGGAAAGGTCTAGAGATGGCGATTTGTCCACGATCACAAATTAATGGGTGGAATTTGAATCCTTGTGCCTTGACGCTAAAGCCAGTGGTCTTTCCTGCTTCTCCAAACAAGATTGGGGATTGGAAATTCCCCTGAGAGTAGTAAGGATGTTTGGGGAAGCCTGGAGATAGGGGTCCCTTCCAAGCAGCCTCATGCTGCGAATGGGAGGGCTATACAAGAACGCCCACCTGTCCTAGAAGTTTGGCTATTCTACCAACTTCTTTTGGTACCTGAGCTCAAGGCACTGCAGGCTAGAGCTTCCCAACCCTCACGCCCCATAGCTCAGGCAAGGGTTCTCATCCCCAGGTGCTAACATACACTCCACCATTCCCCAATATCCAGCAAAGACTCCAAGCACAGAGCTTCTTCCAAGATTGTGACCCCTATCATCTCAGACCCTGGAGGGGGAGGTTAGAGCCATCTTTGGGGTTCTGCTTCTCTAAAGGTGGGTCCTACACTGCTGAGCACAGCCCATGACCTGGCTGCCTGACAACAATCAGCAGCTGTATTCCAGGGGTTCCACTGACCATAACCACCCCCCCTCTCTCTTCATCCTTATCGAAAAAGCATCGTTGCCGACCTA